TACAACATGTAAGCGGCCTCGGTTCGAATTGTCTTCGTTGGGAGGGTGCTTACTGGGTCGCTCGTGCCACCTCGATCTTTGGCTGCAAGGTTGCGTCCCTAATGAAACCATTGAAATCAGCCAGGGAGTCCAGGACATAAAAGAAAGGTCACACAATTCTTCGATACTTACCCGGATCACTGAAACCTTGAGTAGCAGGTGTTTGGTTTCCGATGATCGCAGAGGACTGGTGCTTCTGCTCTGTCCGGGAGTCGACGACGCGCTCCTCGCGGTGAGGTGCGAGCTCAACCGTTGGGGTAATGCCAACCGGACCATTGCGGATGTACACAAAACGAGAGGAAAGGAAAAAAGAGAAAAGAAAGAAGACCAAAAAAGTGTTGGGCGGGTGGCTTGGCCCCCCTGGTCAACACAATTGTTGACGTCCTAAAAGACCCCAGACGTTGATCGACGATCCGCTGGTTGTGCTCCGGGTCGATCACAGGCCAAGAAACGGATTTACCCACTGTAATTTCCAAAGTTCCCTTTCAAACGCAGGGATTGGTTCAAGTAGGGGTTAAAGATCATACGATCTCAATGGAAATGTAGAGAAACTTGAGGGGAAAAGTGGAAGAAACACTACGAATTGGGGGCAATTGGCGACTGGGGGGTCGATATCAAGAAAAACCCCACACCGCAAGTTATTACAGGGTGAAATAGGAAAAATGGATGCCTATTGTGTACATATGTACTTGGCGATGCCCTGAATATACATGTATCTCTTTTGATTTCTTTTAAAAAAAACCCCTGTATGCAATGTACTCCGTAAGCCGCACGAATGTATGCAGTACCCCGCATCATACTATTCTACTATATCGTAGCCATGCTTTGGAAATTATGGTGGCATGAATGTTGTAGAAAAGGATAGATCTAAAGTCAGTCTTGTCGTCGGTCTGTTCGTCCCCAAACTTCGTCGGCATTAGCTTTGCCTTTGGTTTCCGGCACAAATTGATAGATGAAGAACCCAAGTAACCCGGCCATAGCCGCAAACACCCAGTATACCTGTCCACGACCACCGAGAGCATCATCGAGCACTGGGAAGAATTGTGCCACCACAAAGGTTGCGATCCAGTTGGCGCCCAGCGCCCAGCTTTGTGCCGCGCCGACAGCCTCGGGTCCCACAAGCTCGGAGGCCAGGATGAAGGGGACCGGGCCCAGTCCGACCGCAAAACATGCCACAAAAAGTAAGGCAGCAATCGCCGTCAAGATCTTAGCGCTGATATAGATACTTATCGCGAGAAGTACAGAACTGCAGCCCATACCGCAGATGCTCAGCATCAGGCACAACTTTCGGCCAATGCGATCGGGCAGTGGAGAGCACGCCAGCGTGATCACGAGATTAACCGCAGATATCATTACCGTGAGTAGCGCAGCAGTCGTGGGTAAGATGCTTTGTAATAAGGACACGCTGTACATAACAATACTGTTCATCCCGGTGAGTTGCTGAGCGACCATCACGCCAACCACAGCAATAATAGCTGGGCGGTAGTAGGGATCTTTGACAACTTGCATAAACGTGACAGCAGGCTTCTGAGGCGTCCTGTCACCAGATGGAGAGAGCAAGGATTCTTCCTCGCCAGATACAGGGGCATCTGTGGTCCTCCAGCTCGCAATCTCCGCTTCAATATCGGCATCCCGACCACGGATCCGCTGCAGGACCCGGCGTGCCTGACTGATCTTTCCGTGTTCCGCGAGCCACGAAGGACTTTCTGGTACCAAGAAAAGCCCCAGAAGTTCCAGAGCACCGACGATACCAGCCACAGCCAGTATGAGTCTCCAGAGGCTTGCTTCGCTCCAGAAATATCCCAGAGATTGGGTCAACAGAATACCGACATTGGTCATAATCTGGGTGAAGGCACCAAAGAGGCCTCGAGCACTGGGAGGAGCGGTTTCTGAAATGTAGATAGGCCCAACCACGATTGCAGCACCAGAGCCAATTCCAGAGAGGAATCTACCAAGACTTAAGATAGGAATCGCCGGTGCAAGTGTCTCTGCCACGGGCCCCAGAATAAAGAACAATGTGGTCACTCGTAATGCAAGTAGACGTCCGTACTTTGTCGCGACAGGTCCTGCCAGCAAGGCTCCAAGTAAGCCACCGAGCGTGTAGATCGAAGAGACGAGGCCGAATTGCGATGGGGTCATAGGGAAGCATTGCGGTAGACCATGAAAAGTGATATCTGCAGAATGAATCCCTTGACGTTCACATGTTATCACAGCTTTGGGGGCATTGAGCTCTGCCTAGGTAAACTGCGTATCAGTAATGTTCGACGAACATAGAGCAGGTGATATCGTACCAGATGGAAACCAAATTGAAGCGGGCCAAGCGTGACAACAAACACGAGATATATTAGGTATGGTGTAACCCTCGACTGGGTTGATGCGCCCAAAACCATTGTGAGACAAATTCTAGGCCAATCGACGACCTTGGGACGGATTCAAGGTACGTTAAGAGATCCGGAGCTTAAGATGACGTTTGCCGATAAAGATAAGATGATCTGAGGTTAAATTGGTCAGACGAGAAATGTCTGCCTAGGTGGCCAAATTTCACATTGAATTTGGTTCGTAGGTTCTCCTCCACGATTCAGAAATGACCTGAACCAGTTGAATAGTTGAAAGCTACAAGTTGTTGAAGCTGCAACCTTCCGTAGATCCGACATGTGATCTGACTAAGCGTTGACTCGGCTGAACTTATCGCATTGTACAATTCAGACAATACCTTGAAAATATCTCTCTTCTGATCTTTCAATCCTTTTTTATATTCAAAGAACTGGAAACCGTGGAGAAGGGTGTCTCTCCACCAATGGAGTGACAACATCATCGGCCCATCCTGATCCACAAATGAGTCTGACAAACCCGCCCTCTTCCTCCGGCTCTCTCTCGCGAACCAGAGTCGGTAACTTGAAACGGAGTCTCCAGGCTACTGTCGATGGTAATTATATATCTTCCTTGAATCTGGTTACTCGTGATTCCTTGGTATAACGCCTTGTCTCTTCCTGTCTTTCCATCATGTTTGGAAAAGGTTTCCCTTTCTTGAATTCTGGAGGATTCTATTCTCGTGGTAACTCTTTCCCTTTGATTCTTTTTGTGATGATGTTGTTTCTGTGGTGCTAGTTGACAATTTGAATCGACCCTGGCCAACACATTCGATCCTCAATCTGGCAACCGGAATATGCTGACCGGGGGGTTATACAGATGCCATTGAATCAAGAAGACCCGGTGGTTATACCAGCAAAGTCCGGGTCCGAGATCGATATAATATAGTAGGCTTCATCAGCAGCGGTACCTATGGCCGAGTGTACAAGGCTGTCGGCAAGAATGGCAAAAAAGGGGAGTTTGCAATCAAGAAGTAAAAGGCTTTCCCTCCAACATTCGATTTCTTCTTCATTCTAACCTCACCCAGATTCAAGCCCGACAAGGAAGGCGAAACGATCCAGTACACGGGTCTGTCGCAGTCGGCTATCCGTGAAATGGCATTGTGCACTGAACTCTCACATGCCAATGTCGTCCAACTAGAAGAGATCATTCTGGAGGACAAATGCATATTCATGGTATTTGAATATACAGAGCATGATTTGCTGCAGATCATTCATCATCACACCCAGCCTCAGCGACATGCTATTCCAGCAACCATGGTCCGGTCTATCATGTTCCAGTTGTTGAATGGACTGCTCTATCTGCATACCAACTGGGTCTTGCATCGTGATTTAAAACCAGCCAATATCCTCGTCACTTCAAGCGGTGCTATTCGCATCGGCGACTTGGGGCTAGCGCGTCTGTTCTACAAGCCACTCAACTCCCTATTCTCGGGCGACAAAGTCGTCGTCACAATATGGTACCGTGCACCCGAGCTGCTCATGGGAAGTCGGCACTATACTCCTGCCGTCGATATGTGGGCAATAGGATGCATTTTCGCCGAATTGCTCTCGCTACGCCCAATCTTCAAAGGTGAAGAAGCCAAAATGGACAGCAAGAAAACAGTCCCCTTCCAGCGCAACCAAATGATGAAGATTGTCGAAATCCTCGGTCTTCCCCGCAAAGAATCCTGGCCAGGTCTAGCCTCCATGCCCGAATATTCACAACTCCAGTCCCTGGTGCTCCACCGCCAACCTTCACATTTCCATCGCGGCTCTAATCTTGAAGGCTGGTACCAAAGCTGTTTGAAAAACGGTGGATACACTTCCACCTCCGGTGCCGGCACCCCCGGTGCAGATGGTTTCGATCTTCTGTCGCGTATGCTTGAATATGACCCGTCAAAACGGCTTACCGCTGAGCAAGCCCTTGAGCACCCGTACTTCACCAATGGCGGCGCCATCAGCGGTAACTGCTTCGAGGGTATCGAGGGCAAATACCCACACCGTCGGGTCACCCAGGATGACAATGATATTCGTACCGGCAGTCTTCCTGGCACCAAACGGAGTGGACTGCCGGATGATTCGTTGATGAGAGCTTCCAAGCGCCTCAAGGAGTAATCTTTTCATTTGCTTGCTGCATATCTGTGTTGATCATATTTTGCGGCGTGTGGACAGGCTGGCCATGATATCCACCCACATCATACATTTAATTCGGTGTTAGCGTTACAGTAACTAGGGAAATTGCATCATGATGATTTACGCGGGATTTGGTTGGCCATTTAGCCCTAGAGGACTACAAGACCACTATGTATTTTGTATGAACGTGGGTTTAACGCCCAATTAAAGGAGTCATTCGAACTCTGTCAGATACTAATCATTTCAATTGCATAGAATGCGCCATTTGTACTTATGCCTCCCGTCATTTCCCAGTTCCTAATCCCATATTCGCAAAATATCGTACATGTTGAACCATCCCCGAAGAACCCCCAGATAGCACCCAATGATGATAACGCCGAAAGGATGAAAAGGATTGCGTAAAAAGATAATCAGTACCCTGCCATCAAAGCGAAAAGTCAGTGATCATTGTCAGAAAATCAGACAAGGGATTAATAGTCACTCACCATTCTGTTCATGTCGCTTGTCTCCGCTGGTATCATCCTTGCCGTCACCGCCCACGGTAGAAGCGTGGTTAGCGGCATCTTTGATGCCCTGCTCGTCACCACGCAGCGCCTCGAAGTAGCCTTTAATATCTTCCGCGCTGACAGCCTGCCCACTCTCAGCGAAGGGCTGCAGGAACACCTTAAGTTTGTCACGCAGATGGTTGTATGCCATTGCGCCCTCGATGGCACGCACCCGATCCATGTTGTTGAGTGCTGCTTCGCCACGATCGTAGATGCTGCCCGTCCCGACACTGGCGGCACCATTTGCCTGGCCGTCGTCAGACATGGGAGGCTCATATGTATCCTCTTCTTCGCGAAGCTGGGGGTGGGGAACCAGCTTGGGGAAGCACTCTGCGCATCGGCACAGCTGACCATGAAAATCATCCAAGGCGAAGAGGGAGAACGATTCCACTGGAGTGGACTTGGGGAGCTCCGTGTGCTTGGGGGCGGATGGCTTTTTAGAAGCATCACTTTCTTTCTTGGTGGGCTCCTCTTCCTTCACGGCCTTCGATGGCTGTTCCTCGACAGAAACCTCTTCTTCTTCTTCTTTAGTTCGCTTGGTAACACGCTCTCCTTCAATGGTGCCCTCGTCATCTGCCTTGCGCTTTTTTGAGTGTTCGGTCTTCTCCTGGTCCTTAGGTTCGATCTCCTTGGGCTCAGTGGCTGGTACAGAGAGATCCTCGGCCACATTTGAGACCTTCTTGAGCCCACCTTCCCGGAAAACTGGCGGCAAGAAACCAGGAGTGCCCGCATAGGGCTTAATCCAGGGGTTAGAATCGATGCATTTGAAGCAGATCAGATGGTCGAAATCATCCTCCGCGGGAAACCCAGGTGGGAGTATATCTTCTTCGTCCTCTGCTGGAGCGTCTTTGGTGGCATCACCGCCGCCATGTCCACTGACCTTGGGGGCAGCCTTGTTCCAATCACGCGACAAGCCGATGAGACACTCCGGGTGCCACCAGTCCTCGCCGCAGCCTCCGGTCTCGACGGTGCCAAGTCCCAGACACTGGTACATTGTTCCCTTTTCCGAATACGCATCGTACTGTTCGCCGCAGCCACAGAACTGATTGCGAAAATTATGGTTGTATGCGTTGCCTGCTGCAGCCTTTTGGGAGTGCACGCCCTTCTTGCCGGTTGCCGGGTCTTCACGAAGTGTGCAGCAAGAAGATGATGGTAAACGGGTGGTTCCACAGTCGCAGACAAAGTTGCGCTTGTTGAAGAGCTCGACTAGAGTATGCTCGCCGTGACAAGCGATCGAGCACGAGTAACACACGGCAGCGGCAGTGTAGAATTCGTTGGAGTCGGTAGGAGGAGGATTGCAGGTGAGACACGCAAAGAGGACCTGTCGCAATGGCCCAAGGTCATATGTGCAAGAGTCAAAGGCCTAAAGTCAATAGGTCAGCTGTGGAACAAGTCGCGCGCCATCTGCTTTGTCCAGATACTCACATAAGGAAGAGCCTCGCGCGCATCTGCCTCTAGTTGAAGCTGGGACTCAATAAACCTAAAAATGAGTTAGTATGATCGTTTTCCTAATGTGAGGGAAGTATTGGGGGAATGCGTCATACTCTTTCGCGGTCTGGGAATTCTGGGAGCCCATGCTCTCACTACGGGCATCCTCGGCGATCTTAGCAACAACCGAGTGCGTGGGGTCCATTGTTGGGATGTTTATCTGTGTCCTTATCGTAGGAATTGGCAAATAGCGAATGGCCTAAGAGTCATGAGTGTCGAAGCGCTTCGTTAGATAAAGACGCGACGAGATGGAGTCGCGACATAACTTAAAGTTTCTGCCGGCAGATTCCAACAAAAGCAGGGCGGTCTAGATACACGGGGTATGTTGTATTTTTCCAATATCATCCCAACAATATTAGAATGTCCTCCATTTAGTAACAAATTTCAGTTTAATGTGCCATCATAATCACAGTAAAGTGAGACCAAAGGGAAATTTTTAGCAGTCGAACCACCTTATTCCTAAAATGATTCATGTTACTTGCCGTCCTACACCGCTTATTATAAACAACGATATCCGTCTCCACATAGTACTACATACGATCCCCTCATGGGTTTCCTCTAAGGTCGAACAAGCACCTTATACATACAGGTGGATCCTGGCTGTTGATACCAGTCGCTCTACCAGCACCGGGATTACGATATCAACGGTCAACGTCGGCCTACCGATTGGGATCTCGAAACCACACTGCGATGGCTGCAAGCAGAGTATTCAGGTCGTATAAATCGAAATATGCTGCTCAAATTTAGAGTCAATGACCGAGAAGAAATTACTCGACCGTGTTTCTATAATCGAGAACAGATATTGTACTTGATCCGCCGAGAAGCTTTCATGGAGTACTCCGCAGATACTCGACCTTGCATCTGCTGCTGTCTTGAAGCAGGCCCTTCCCATATGAAAAATAATGTAAGTATTTCCATATTGTAAGTGGCTTATAGCGTACTCCATGGCTGCAATATGCGACTAATCAAAGTCAAACTGAGATTTGCGGGATGTACAGGGCGTGGTATGTATCCACACCCACTCCACTACCCTATGGGTGCAAAGATGTATTGTACTAGTACATATGTTGTAGTAGCCCTAGAGATACGTTTGATTTGAAATCCAAACATTAACTTGTTCAAGGCTGTATATTATCCACTTCGCGGGAAGATTAGCCCTTTAGATTTTCCTGTTAATTCCCAATATTACTTAGTTTATAAGGCCATCACTTACCTTGGCACATAACTCAATTCCTACGAGAGTGCAAACATATTGGATTCTAGAATATGCCTATTCTGATAAGAACTATAGACTGCTCCAATAAGCAGTACACGAAATGACAGGGATCATCCATTTATTTCTAACCAGCTCGGATGTTGGGCTCTGGGAGCTCCACTCTTTCTTTTCTCTCCCTTCCAAAGTTTTCTCATGTATCCATATCATTCGAGTTAATCTGTCCTTCTTGGGCGTGCTTTTCTTTCCTTTCTACTGAGAGCAGTTTCTCCTTGGCTTGCCAACTATTGTCTGGAAAGATGCCAGCCTATGCGTCCGAGGTAATTGAGACTGGCAAAGAGAAGGAGAACAGTACCCAGACAACTGATGCTCTCACGAGAGATAGGCCAAATTCACCACTTCCATCACCTCTCGATGGCGGATTTCATGTCTGGGTTCAGGTCGTTGCGGGACACCTCGACGTAGCCCTAACTTTGGGCTACGCCTCCAGTTTCGGCGTGTTCCAAAACTACTATGACTCTGCGCTACCACAAGCCCCCTCCGGTATTTCATGAATCGGTGGCTTCCAGGTCTTCTGTCTTTTGTTCATCTCGACGCTCTCTGGCCACGCGACAGATGCTGGATTGACAAGGTCAGTGGTAGTCCTAGGTGGGCTGCTGTTGGTTATTGGGACCTTTATGACAAGTCTGGCCATAGAATACTGGCAGATCTTTCTGGCTCAGGGACTATATATTCTGATGTTATGCTAGGCCGCCGTTCATACTGTGGCCGAACTATATATATTTTCTGTGTTTTATGGACTGGCATCAGCGGCGGCTATGGCCTTGTTTGGTGGCACTATTCCTTTACTCACCAAGGACCTAGACAAGATAGGCACCCGAGTTGGCATATCGCTCTCCATTAAGCTTCGGGCCCTTAACTAACCCATCTGTGGCTGGGGCGTTGGTAGAGCGCACTGGAGGTGGCTATCTGGCTAGGGAAATATAGGCAGGAGCAGCCTTACTAGTGGGAGTATTAGCTCTTGTGGGAGCACGAGTCATAATATCGGGGCCAAATCTCCGAGCAAAGCTATGAGAAAACCCTGGAAATTAGAAATACATGTGAAAAGGATACCAGAAAGACATTAGGAAGACATTAGAAAAGACATCAAACCCCCAACACTATTAGTACATAATAGGAAAGTTTCCTGTTGAAATTACCGTGATACCTTCCCTCTAAGTAACTTTAGTTCAATTTGTTCTTACCCCATCTCTCGCTGGCCATACTACCTCAGTCATGGAGCAAACACACCTGGGCAAGTGCCTTTTGACCACATCGATGCAACAGCCAAGGATATTGCGACTGCTCTCACTCGCGGCAACTGTCGCCATGGTGTAGTATCTCTTCAACCTTTGGCGCCTCAAGCTGATTTTAACTAGGACGTTGGTATTTGGTATCCTCGTTAATGCAGACCCCAGTGTCCGAAAACTGCTGCTCCAGGTGTCCGGCTTCAAGTTGTCCCGGAGTAATAGCCCGGTTTTCATGATCACGATACGATTCGGGTCGAGATCCTTCGTGACAACAGAAATCTACAGCAAAATCTACCCGACGCAGGTTCCATTCCTCTTCACTCTCTTTCTGCCAGCGACTTACCAGGATGCGTTGGAGATATGTGTACTGTACCTGCAATCCCCACTCCACGAGAGGAATGCTTTCATCAACTATAGCCTTTGCAGCTATCTTGGTGATATCTGCGTGGAGCTGTCGCAACGGCGTGTTTCCCTGGAGTGGTGGGTCCATCCATATATGTTTCGGTTAAAAGCTTCGTAACTGAAGGGATATGGTGTACATCGATCTCATAAAACGGTCACACCTTGTGCCAAAACCGATAGAAAATGATTGCCTCGACAATTCGTACTTATTAAAAACCTTCATCCTTCATGATCGACTGGCCAAGTGGTTAAGGCGTCTGTCTTACATTTCATATGTTGGAGCTTCACAGAAGGTCGCAGGTTCGATCCCTGCGTCGATCATTGACTTTTTGCGGTTTCAGTTTTTTTTTTGCTGTAGATGGGGTTTCGATTTTTTTTTTTACATCTCAATTTCTACTATATTTCTCCAGCATTGTCAAAAAAAAGGTGTGAAATACGGAGTGAAAAGAAACCAGGAAGGTAGTGTGTGAAGGAAGCTGTGATCCACCTTCCTAATCAGGGTTTAATTGAAACGCGTCGCGTCCAACACGCGACTTGCTGCACAACTCGACTTTGCCGCCCCTTCTCCCTCCCTTCATTCTATCAACCACGCTACCACACATTCGAGGGAAAAAAAAACCCCCCGAAACATACACACCACTTATCCATACTCATAATTTCCTGGCTATTGTCCATTTTTTTCCTTTGAATTTTCGTAGTTGAAGTACCCCACACAATGGAGTGAGTGTGCCTCCTGAATTTTCTGCATTCAAAAAGCTAATGCACTACAGTCCGCTCCGAGCCAGCGACTCGGCCGCAAACCGTGGCCGAGGGGCCAACACTCGTAAGAGAGACAGAGAGGATGACATGTCCTCCCCGGCGCCATTGCCTCCATCCAGTCGTATGTTTGCTTATTTGTCCGGGCTGTATCAATATAAAACTGATAACGGTTATGTGCAGCCACCGCTTTGGGCTCATCCCCTCCCCCGATCCCCTTTGACATGGGGGATGAAGATGAGGATGAGGATAGAGGTCTCGTGCAAGACATTGATGATATTGATGAATTGGCTGAAGATGAGGATGGAATTGACCTGTTCGGCGACAACTTCGAGCGGGATTATCGCGACGCAGCGCAAGATCGCTATGAAAATGAAGGATACATTGATGACGACGAAGACCATGATGAAATTGATGCCGGAACTCGTCGGCAGCTAGATGCTCGCCTGAACCAAAGAGATCGTGAACTGGCACGTCGGCGCCGCATGCCTGCCGCCTTTTTACAAGATGATGACGATATGGAATTGGACCTCTCACGCCAACCACGACGACGCAGACACCATTATGACGAGGACCGTGAAGATATTGACATGGCCGACGAGGGCATGGAAGAGCTGTCATTGGAGGAACTGGCAGATGTGAAGGCAGCCAACATTACGGATTGGGTGACCCAGCCCCAGGTCCTCCGCTCCATCTACCGTGAATTCAAGGCCTTCCTGACAGAGTTCATTGACCCCACCGGTCAGTCTGTTTACGGTAACCGAATCAAGACTTTGGGTGAGGTGAACTCCGCTTCACTCGAAGTGTCCTACGCCCACCTCAGCGAGACCAAGGCAGCTCTGTCATACTTCCTCGCCAACGAGCCCACCGAAGTCCTGAAGGTATTTGATCAGGTTGCACTCGACGTTACTCTGTTCCACTACCCACAATATCACGATATTCACAACGAGATCCACGTCCGCATCACTGATGTGCCCATCATTTACACCCTGCGCCAGCTGCGCCAGTCGCACCTCAACTGCCTCATCCGTGTCAGTGGTGTCGTTACCCGTCGAACCGGTGTCTTCCCACAGTTGAAGTATGTCATGTTCCTCTGTCAGAAGTGTGGTATCACCTTGGGTCCATTCCAGCAAGAAGCTAGTGCGGAGGTGAAGATCTCGTTCTGTCAGAACTGCCAGTCGCGTGGTCCCTTCACTGTCAATTCGGAAAAGACAGTCTACCGCAACTACCAGAAGTTGACTTTGCAGGAGTCACCCGGCTCGGTTCCCGCAGGTCGTCTGCCGCGGCAGCGTGAGGTCGTTTTGCTTGCCGATCTGATCGACACTGCCAAACCCGGTGATGAGATTGAGATCACCGGCGTTTACCGCAACAGCTACGATGCCCAACTGAACAACAAAAACGGCTTCCCTGTTTTCGCCACCGTCATTGAGGCAAACCATGTGGTCAAGGCACATGACCAGCTGGCTGGTTTCAACCTGACAGAAGAGGATGAGCGCGAAATTCGCGCCCTCTCCCGTGACCCCGATATTGTGGACAAGATTGTTCGCTCTATGGCTCCTAGTATTTACGGCCACCAAGACGTCAAGACTGCTGTTGCGCTTTCGCTCTTTGGTGGTGTTAGCAAGCAGGCCCAAGGCAAGATGAACATTCGTGGTGATATCAACGTCCTTCTTCTTGGTGACCCCGGTACCGCCAAGTCTCAGGTCCTCAAGTTCGTTGAGAAGACCGCTCACCGTGCCGTGTTTGCCACTGGTCAGGGTGCTAGTGCCGTTGGTCTCACGGCCAGTGTCCGCCGCGATCCTCTCACTAGCGAATGGACGTTGGAAGGTGGTGCGCTTGTGTTGGCTGATCGGGGTACTTGTCTTATCGATGAGTTTGACAAGATGAATGACCAAGATCGGACATCTATTCACGAGGCCATGGAACAGCAAACCATTTCCATCTCCAAGGCCGGTATTGTGACAACACTGCAGGCTCGGTGTGCTGTCGTGTCTGCCGCTAACCCCAAGGGTGGTCGGTACAACAGCTCAATCCCCTTCTCGGAGAATGTCGACTTGACGGATCCTATCCTGTCTCGTTTCGATATTCTCTGCGTGGTGCGTGATCTGGTTGATCCTGCCGAGGATGAGCGATTGGCCAATTTCGTGATCGAGTCACACCACCGTTCCAACCCGGCCCGTCCCCTCCGGAACGAAAAGGGCGACTTGGTTGATACTGACGGCCATCTCATTGACAATGAGGGTTACCGCATCAACAGAGACGGCCAGAGACTTCCTCCATCACAGGAGGAGATCGCCAAACGCGTGGCAGAGAAGCAAAGAGCCGAAGAGGAGAAGGAGGGCGAGATCCCGCAGGAGCTCCTGCGGAAGTACATTATGTATGCCCGAGAGCGTTGCCACCCCAAGCTTTATCAGATCGACCAGGACAAGGTTGCCCGTCTCTTCGCAGACATGCGCCGCGAGTCTCTGGCTACTGGAGCGTACCCCATCACAGTAAGTTATCTTTCCACTTTCCATACATCGACATATTTCTTACTCTAAACTTCTAGATTCGTCACCTTGAAGCCATTATGCGTATTGCAGAATCTTTCTGCAAGATGCGCTTGTCAGAGTACTGCTCCTCACTGGATATTGACCGTGCCATCGCTGTTACTGTGGATTCGTTCATCGGCAGCCAAAAGGTCAGCTGCAAGAAGGCACTTTCGCGTGCATTTGCCAAGTATGTTTCTTTCAATCCTTGAATCTAGTGGAATCTTGTACTAATGTCTACCCCTCAGATATACACTCTCCAGACCCAAGCCCCAATCCAAGCGTCGCGCGGGCATCCCCGTATCAAACCCTCACCTGCCACGGGCTCAGTCCACCACCCATTAAACAGCCTTCTAAAAAAAAGGAGGGCTGGGGGTGCCCAGGTTGCATGGTTTCTTTTGTGTCTTATACCATCTTGTTTGCATTTTATGTGTGGCGTTTATGACAGGGTTCCGTTTTCCAATTGGGCCATGATACGGTAATGAATGGAAAACCAATGAATGATATTTCGAGTTTACATATTTGAGGTCAACTTGAATTTTAATGTAGCCGGCTGCACTGTCCACCATTAGTTCTCTGTGGTTTCTTGAAAGCACACGCCGGGTTAAACTCGCTTCTCTCTAGAACACGGCATTTTGAGTTATGATCACATCTAGATTGATAAGCCTATATATATATACCTGATGCATTATAACACCCAATGCTTGATTTTCTTTTTTTTTTGCACACATAAACTCTTATATATCTTACTTAGCTTGTGTGTAGACTAAAATAGACATCTCCGTCCACATCCGGGCACAGCCCAATATTACATCGAGCCCTAGGGCTGCGGGTCGGGTGACACGCGGCAGTACAACGTAGTCGTGGACATGAGATACCTATTTCATTGAGGTAGCTAGGGTTGAACATATCTACATAGTTTTTACCGTCCAATGAATAATATAGTTACTAGATAGTTCAATTGATATTTATATATATATATATATATATCTCTCTCTCTCTTCGGGTTATGACCTCGTCTGAGATCGCATTCCAAGCCGAGGAATGTTCGATATCTATCTACAACCAGCTAGACTCTCTGGAGGGTATATAATCATTGAAATGCGAGGTGTTATATGCAAATAAAGCAACGTATCATTTGAATTGATCATATCCAGGCACCAGTCACCAGCCATTGACCATAACCTTCATATTCAGGATCCACAAGAACCGCTGGTACTCCATTCAGACTGTGTCCTTCTCTCTCGGCAGATGGGCTCTAGATCCCTCTAGAACATGTGAGATCTAGAGATATTGAAAGTAACCTCTCTGTCCACATTCCAGGAATAGAAGATGACATCAATCATGCCAAGTCATTCCTGGTGTTGGCTATTCTTGGTAATCGAGGAATCTTTCCCCCCTTTATGTACCTGATAAGCTGGGATGTCTTTGGATGTCGATGTTAGATGTTCGAATTCACTGTACATCAATAGATAGCAGTTAGTACACACGTACCTTTCAACTGTCACGGCATATCAAAGTGGAACCTTATGATTTAAATTGGCCCCCTGAGGCTATATTCTACCTAGTCTAGGGATTTCAAGGTAAAAAAGAAAAGGTAGACAAGCCAGCACAGCATAGGATAGACACCAGTAAAAACAAAAGAGAAGAAAGAAATCGAAAGATCGACAGGGCCACACGAAGTAAAGTAAAAAAGAAGTTCTCCCCCGAGACGATCACTGGGCATTTTACGTATGCTCTCCCGTGTTCCCTCTTCCCCTTGCCCCCCCCCTCCTTTCTTCCGTCAAGACTACTTTTTTTCTTTTTTCTTTTCTATCTCTCTTTGATTTTGGTTTTTGTTATACCCTGATCATTGCCCTCCAACTTTAATCGTCTATACCGTTTCACCCCTGATTATCACTGTTTCAGCAAGACCTCCTGCCACTTTCTTCCGCATTCGTGCGACTCCTAACGCGGCATCTCATTGAACGCAAACGGCCTCTCCACCCACACCTTGTTTCAGAGGTGAACTATCCGTCACAATGAATGCCACTCCAGCGCTTGGTTATGCGCCTGGCATCTCGCTGGCCCCGCAAGGTACGTAACCTGAAGGACCTCCCATGATGACTGGATCTTATACGTTACCGCTGGGGATGGTTGGACCCCCTGATCCTTAAAATGACACCTTCCCTGGACTTTGTGGTCCAAAATCTACATTTTTCTTAAGACCTGTGGCTGATTTAAAGCATCTCTGCGACCAACAGAACACCAAGCTTCTCCAACAGCGGCCAGTTTTGGCTCCAATAACCCCTTCCGAAATCGCGCTCTTTCGCCCTCAGTTGCTGGATCTGTTTCATCGAACCGTCCGGAGCGCCCACGCTCCACAAATCCCTTCTTAGACGACGCCGAGGCGATGTCTCCGCAGTCAGCCCCTGGCATGTCGACTGGTGTCAGCATGATCTCTCCGATTGAGAAGCACGATATATCGAGCAACACTCGAGAGCTCTTTGTATGTTTGGGAGTATTGAACCTACGTGTTCATATTAAGTCTAACTTCTTAACAGGAGTCCCTCTCCCTTAAGCCTGCTCCCCAGTCAAATCGTCCTCGGCCTACGGCATCTGACGCAACCCAACGCACTTCCTCGAATCGCAACAGAACTTCAAGGGAGCGTCCATCAGGACGATCGGCCGCATTGAAAGAGGAAGATCCGCTTGACATATTCGCCGATCCCCCTACTTCGTCCCAGACCGTCAAGGACAAGGCGCCCCGTCGTCCCCGGCGGAACTCGGAGTCTTCGGTTATGGACCGAAGCTCGAAGTTGTTGGATGTTGATGACGACGACAAGCGCCGACGCGAACGTCGTCATCGTGAGCGCGAGAGTCGCAGCAAAGACGGCAAATCGCGCTCGAGCCGCAAGGACCGACGACTGGATATCATTGATAAGTTGGATGTGACGAGTATCTACGGTACTGGAAGTAAGTAACTTACGTTTTTTCTTTTCCCTCTTTCTCGTTCACAAGCCTATGATTCATATGCTAACTATGCTAATAGTGTTCCACCACGATGGTCCATTTGATGCTTGCAACCCCCACCGCAATCGCCGCGGCGTGCGTACTGCGCCTATGCAAGCCTTCCCCAAAGGTTCCACCAACATGGCTCTGGGCGGCGCAGGCCCCAACAACTCTAACATCGATCTGAATCTTTTCCATGGAAGGATGGAGGAAGGCCACAACGACTTCTCCACCGCTGGTCGCCGCAATGCTGAGACGGGCGTTATGGATCCCACTGCCCGGGTGGACCCGATTCATGGACCACAGAGTATGGGACTGGGAACCAGCACTTTCCTCGATGGAGCTCCGGCTAGTCGATCTGCCATGGCACGCCGTGAGAGCGAGAATGAAAGCACTCTAGCACCGAATGGTGGCCTTGCACGAAAGAAGAGTCTGGCTCAGCGACTACGTGGACGAGGTGCTGGGCCTGGCCGCATGGCTTCTCCAACCGACAACTTCCCCCCGGCTGCACCTCAGGTGGGCTCCAGTCATTCAGGATCCACCCGGGCCAACGAAAGAAACCCCTACTTCCAAGAAGAAGAATACGAGGAAGAGTGGGACAGGAAGGGATCGAGTATCGAAGCTCGCCTTGAAGGCGGCCGAGTTCGATCGTCGAGCAGTCCCAAGCAAATGGAGCGCAAGATCACCAACGACCGACCCTACGAAGAGTCGAGGCTTAATCCTGGTACTGGTGGTGGATTCTTGAACCGGATGAAGAGTCTGCGCAAACCCAAGCCGGAAAGACGGACCAGTGACTGAGTGACCTATCAATCACACGTTGAGCCTGTCCCGGAAATATATCGATGTAGCAAGCGGGCCTTTCTCACTCGGGTGCACCTCCGGGATGTGTCAATCTCATGATTCCCTCTCCATTTCACCATCTAACTCCTCAATGAGGAGGGATGATTCCACACGTTAATACCCAGCATCGAGCACCGAACACACGGTGCTCAACATGGCGTTCATATATTTCGGAATAGAATGCTTCAAAATGCTTCTGATTCCAAACCGCCATGAAACACAATGCCCTGATCTTAACACCTTAAGACCATGGCTATGATTCGGAGTTTTTCACGGTCTATTCTCTTCTTGTATCTCAATTTCAGCCTTGCTTTCAGAAACATGTATTTTTCCCGATTGTTGTTCTCCATATCGGTATCTTTGAATAGGATATGATAATTGAACTTGTTGGTTCCAACACGATTTCATCCCTGATCTACTTATAAGAGTACTGGATAGCCATGTATATCTTAGATATGGCTTTTAGTGACCGTGCTATGCCCTTTTTGAGATTCCATAAGTTTCATGACGCCTAGTCATAGGTAATATCATCACTTTGCCGGCGAATGAGTGTTGTAGATTAGTGAGGATTCTCAAGATATTTAGAAAAAAAAAAAAAAAAAAACTTCCCATGAGGATCTGTCTATCATCTTCAGGTCTATCCCATGATTAAGCTCTCTATCACTCCCAGATCGCAGCGCTATATTATCGCCATGGGCCAATCTTCGTCGAAACCCCTTAATGTATGGATATACCGTATACACTATATGTACACCGTCCGGGAACCTGACCCCCTCAGCCCTCTTCGTTAGTAAGGATGGTTCTTCCACCGGCGACCTCCACTACTTTCTCACTGACGATGATTGAATCTCGGGGCATCGCCACAAGCGTCAGCGAGTGACTTACTCCCCTGACGCTCCGAGATTCAAGGGTACCAATTTGACATTCACGTGCACCACACCTACTAGAAAGCATCTTAAGAGATGGGACTCTTTGCTGCGCAACTTGCCCGCTACGTAGCTGGGCGCGGAACGCATGATGGTAACTACGTCTCCCGAGGAGGCAGATTCGTGTTGCTGCCAGGTTCAGGAAATGTTGGAAAGAAATGGGGTCATGATGCGCTCCCGTGGTTTGATTCGTTAAGATAGTGAGCCTTGTCTGTTGTTTTGTTGTGTATATAGTCTGTGTTCTTGAATCTATTGGTATCTGTAGGCTTACAGATTGGCTTCTATAGATAGAGGAGTATTTAAGCCTTAGTAAGTATTGGCTTGAAGACTGAAACAGACCTCAAACAATGGAGAGAGTTTTGTATTCCTTTGAAGAAGAGAAACATAAAAGTAAGAATAGAACAAGAGACAAAGGGTATTTAAGGGTAAACGTTCGCCGTGTAAACCTTTCTCAATATCATCACCAAGTCTACTGATCATCGAGAGCCCTCTTCACCCCTCTAAGTTCTCCAACGATCCTTGAGGCCAAATTTACACCATGAACAACAAAATTAATACCACAGGGAACATCACCAACGCCATGGTGAACATCACTTTGACGGAGCCCCAAAGACACAAAGTCTACATTGTCAAATACAACTTCGATTCCTCTCCTCCAGAAGGCGACTCGGTTATCTTTGTTAAAACCAGTGAAGACGTCGGCCATATTCACTTCATTGCCCCTAACAGTACTGGAACTCACCAGTACTACAACCGTGAGACAATCATGGCCCATGAAATCAAGGAAACAGGAGAAAACCTCATGCTAATAGGCACTACCCTTACCGAGAACTACCAGGGTAGTTGGGATAAGGCGCTGCGGGGAGTCGAGGAGAATCAGCAGTATGCGATAACTTCCTTGGCTTTGACTGTCTCTACCCAAGCTGGGATGAGGCAGTTGAAGGTCTCTCACTGGACTCAGGAGTGCGCTAGGCCCGCGTTGGAGAAGGCTGGGCTTTTGGAGAAGATAGTTGAACATTGAACTGAACTGTGCGGATTGAGAAGGTGAAAAGAGGAAGGGTATCATCATCAAAGGTTATATATACAAAAGTCTCTTGCACAAAGCATGCTTTTTTTTTAAACTGCCTTTGTATACACCTAAATAGTCACCTAAAAAGACATGACAAGGCCGCATAAACCGACTATTCTTGTATATATAGTTTGGGATGGATCAAGGGCAGAGGAGAAGAAGTGCCAAGTTGTTAGTCTCCGGTGGAAAGAGAAATTAAATACTATGAGACATGAAGTTGCAAAGCAGACATAAGAGGTTATCAATTTCTATACTTTGGATGTTTGTGTACTTTTAACCCGAGTGGACGCTATCCCTTCCCGTAGAAACCTCACCTTCGAAGCTCTCACCAGCTTCTGCCTCCTTTCACTCCAAGCTTCTCTACATCACCACCATGGAGGATCGACCAACCCTAACCAACCCGCGCTTTACTCTCGAGCTTGAATTCGTCTCATCTCTCGCCAACCCTTACTATCTGTCGCACCTGGCAGTCACTTATCCCAATCTCCTGGGTATCTCTCGTGCCGACGACGACGATGATTCCTCCTCACCAGATGCCGAGGCATTTGCAGCCTATCTAGCCTACCTCTACTCCTACTGGAAGACACCGGAATACTCTCAGTTCCTTACCCACCCTGGCCCCACACTGCGAGCGCTTCGCTTGCTCCAGGAGGACACCTTCCGCCGTGACATTATTCTACCCCAGGTCATTGAAGGTCTGGCAGGGGTCAGTGTCCCTGAGCCAGCTCAGACCGAGACGGAAGCGGCAGATGAAAAGCAGGAAGACAGTCAAAATGGAAAGACATGAGGGGGCTTGAATTCTGAACCTACGCTCCATGCGACCGACATGCGCTTGTTTCCTGCAAAACATATGAACAGAATATGTCCTGGCAGATTTAAGTTGTACATGACTTTTTACACTTTGGTGATTTCACCCTCACCGTACTCGGCCTTTGACAAAGTTGAGCATGGGAGTTGCATGAATGCGCTTCATGTGCGACCGAGGATCCCCAAGCTCCCGAGGCCCCGGAATTGTCAATCGAACACCCCAGCGAACCCCTCGACTTTTCGCTCCGACGACAGAGGCAGAGGATTGCGGGGTAAAAGGACCAGGTGGGAAATTCTCTCCTGTACTATTGTGCCTATAATATACCTCGAGACGATATGTCCGGGGTTATCGCCACACTCTGGGCAATGAAAGTGGCCGTGGCAATTACAATTAGCATTATTATCTCAATTTGAGCAAATCTTTTGCAATGTGAAGCAGAATATAAAAGAATACAACAAGAATTAACATTTGAAGCCCTCAAGGACCTATAATATACCGACATATATGTAAGACCAGACAAAATAAACAAGTACACCTACACCAAGTGAATATAGAATACGCCCGAAGATCCCGAGAGCCCAATCTTGTTTTTTTTTTTTTGGTTTTTTTTTTTCCTTCTTCTTCTTCATTTTTCAATCATCTCCCCTTTTCAACTTTCATTCGTTTTTACTCAACACAAAGTTCATTTTGGAGATTGTGCCTTTTTCAGACCCCCGTTACAACGTTAAGCAGAGCCCCACCCCCTGGTAATCGGCCCTGAACTACTACCTCAACCCGTTATCGTCCACGTTGCGCTGGACATCAACGTCTTTCCCATGGCCCTCAACTAGTCCTTCAGTACTTCGGATTGTCTCCAATTTATCTTCTTCACATACGAAGTCCGTCGCGCTCTTTCGTGGACCCTCCCCAGCTTGGAGACTGCATGTGGCATTACGTTTCCAATGGAGTCCGTTCGCCAGTCTTGTCGGCCAAAGCACCAGGTCCTGACATTGAAATGTTATCCAAAATACCAAAAGGGGGTGTCGGAGGTCCGGCCGAATCCTAGTGAACTCTCCTACCTGCTGTACTATACGAGCACGCGCCGCAGCAAATTGACCAAGGTCGGCGGTTTCCTGGAGAAAAGAGTTGCCCGGGATGTCTGGAGACGCAGAATAGGGTGAGCGCAAACTATGATCGCCCGAATCATAGGACTCGACAAGACGGATGGCTGACCGATCTCATTGCACAGGAATGTTCAGGTGGCGCTGCATATCTTGGCTGCCCTCATCGAAAAAGTTCCCCGCGACCTTCCTATCTACGCCCGATCCGTCATGACAGTGATTGATACCGTTCTCCGATCCAATGACGTAAACATGGTGGAGGAATCGATTGTGACCTTCGAAATGTTCTGTCGGCATCAGGACATTGCAGCCGTCGCGGCTGACCAGGGCCTCGCACAACAATATCGAGAAGTGGTGAGAACTTACACCAGCCTTGCCGACCCGGAATTTACATCCAACTCGAACGCAGCTCTTAGCCCGCAGGTGGCCATCCGATGGAGAAACGCGGGACTGCGAGCTATTCGAGCTGTTGTCAGTTCAGAGACCTTGGCCGCCGATGGAGGAGTATCGCTGAAGCTCTGTTTGCCGGTTGTTCTGAAGAACCTCTATTCTGACGATGAAGATCTTCTTACGACATTGAAGGCCAAGCTAACCGAATCTGACCCGACTGAACGCGAGGGGCCCAAACCCCGCCGAATGAGCATCAACACGGTGCATACAGTGGACACGGCGGAGGGTGACCCCGAGCTGGCAGCGCAGTCAGCCGCTGAAGCGGATCGAAAGGCGGAACTGGACGCCCGCCTCTTGGCCCTCCGCTGTCTCGAGCAGACCATCGTCTCGGGAAGCAACCGGGGCCAGATCCGTATTGCAGTAACGGTCATTCTACAATTCATCGCAAGCAAGGGGTTCCCACAAAGCGAAAAGCGTGTTGAGACCATCGAGGGCAAAAGTGGCAACTGGGCAACATCTCTAATCGAACTCATTGCGAACTGGTGTCCGGTGCAAGTTCGTTTTATCATCTTGATCACAGCTATGGAGATTCTCCACGACACAAGCCCCAAGGAGGATGCTTTAGAGTCATCATTCACCATTCTCTCCGTGGTGGACTGGCTTCTCAGGTCTTCTGTGAACATGATTGGACTCAGCGTCATGGACATCCTCTTTGGACTCATGCATTACGCTTCTGATATACTCTCACCGCCAGAGCGTACTGGGTCCGCAGAGTCAGAGAAGAAATCAAATCGACAAATTGACACCGTGGTTCAAATCTCTCCCCGACGACAGGATCTTCTTACGCTACTGGAGCAGTGTATTGGAGATCTTGCAACGCATATCTACTACGGAGACCAAATCGCAGACATGATGCGTGCTATTCTCAGACGTTTCAAGCCGAATCTCCACCATGATAGTTCCGCGCCATCCACATTGGCAACCGTTCACGAATCTGGAGTCGCACATGACGGTTCAACAAACTCCGGATCGGAGACAAATGTAGACAAAGCAAGCACAGAAAGCTTCTCGCATGCTGCTGCTAAACTGACTGCTCTGCGAGCCGTCAAGGCTATCTTGATTGTGGCCAACTCGAGGACGCCAGAAACCATGCCTGGTGCGGAATCTAGACAGCCAGTGGGAATCCATGTGTGGGAAGGAACTCAAGTACTTCTTCGTGATCCGGATCGTGATGTTCGCTATGCATACACCGATGCATTCCTATCATGGCTGCGGATTGAGACGAATGGGAATGACCTCAAGGTCAGATTAGATTCACCCAAGTACATCAAGACAACCACAAAAAGAGACACCGAGCAGGTGGATAGGCCGAATCGACGAGGTAACTCGGCCCCTGCCAATCAGAGGGACAAAGTGGTACTGGTAGCACAGTCGAACTTCCTCCGTCTTCTGCACCTGGCTATCTACGATGCTGCACTCGAGGTAGCTGCCGAGGAAGCCGAGATTCTTCTGCTGCACCTTCTTCTTGCAAATCTTGTCGATAACCTCGGGGTGAATGCCGCTCAATTCGGTGTTCCTATGGTCCTTAAATTGCAAGACGACTTGTTTACATCTATGGATCCGAGTTACGTCGCAGCTCGCGTTAACCTTGGAAGCTTGGTACATGGATACCTTCTGGCACTGTCTGAGCATTTCGAAATGCAGTCCTCCCCCGTGGGCCTCGAGATAAGTAATGAGATTCAAGAGCGACAGGGCAAGGGATATTGGCTTTCCAAAATCCGCCTGCCCCCAGTCGATCTTTATGCCATTGTCTTTGACAGCGAGAAGAGGTCTTATAATGACTCCACCTCCCCGCCTTCATTGACACCCTTCCGTAATGTCGACGGACTTGTCTATTTGATTGAAGAGTCTTATCGTAAATCGGTATCGTCTCCTCCACAAAGCCCCTCGGCTTCTTCTACAGCACGAGGATTCACATTCCCGGTCCTTGGGCACCCCACAGCAACAGTGAAATCCCAGGCTGAGAGTGGCCTCCCGTCTGTCGTGAAAGAACAGATGTTGTCTCCGTGGTCTCGCGAGGTGTGTTTGGCAGCCGTTGATAAGGAAAGCACTGGCGCTTCATCGATCAATGGCTCCCGGGCTACTCAGAATGCTCGCAACAACCAAAACCAAACCAACGGGGCTACAAATGGCTCGCCTGCCGGCTCTCAATATCCCCGCTGCATGAGCGTTCCAGAGATATCAAGCTCGTCATCCCACGGCTCGAGTAGAGGCTCGCCTGTTCGCGTTGATGAGCTTCGACGCGTGCTTTCAGTTACTAACGACAACCATGCTCGACGCCTTAGTCCATTACGTGGACGACTTGACGCATCGAATGCCAGTGTCATTTCTTCCGGGAGCGATAGCATGGTCAGCGGCAACTTCTCTGTTTCCGAGATAGACGGAGATGCTACCTCAATACAACCAGAGAGTCAACACACACCTGAGGAAGATGGAACAGAGACACCCCGCGCTTCGGCTGCGGCATTTGTCCTACCAGGCGATAATGGTCCAGCGGATGAATCTCCGAGTGAGCCATCCCGGAATCGCGTTGATTCAAATGCAGAAATCCCTCCCGTCCCACCAATCCCAGTCGGCTTGTCGATCCCGGGTGGCTTGCCGAATGACCCACAGCGCTCGCTGGGCTCATATGATCGCCCATACACTGCGCCGGGTCCCTCGGCAGTGAGAGACAGGGCTGAAGCCAGTGCCTTGAACAACAAGCCTCTAAACCGCAACAAGAGCCGGTCCAACTATAGCCTTGCTACAGTTGGAATCCCTGAACTGTTAACCGACTATGAGTCCGATGCCCTAGATGGCAACCACCAAGATCAGCTAAGGAAGCTCTTGGATGGGTTCCTCTCGCCCGGCGAGACTGCGCCGATGAATGGAAACCGCCCGACAACTGCCAAACCTGCTTCCAAGGCTCCGCTGAGCGGATCTAATAGCAGACGACAGGTCAGCGGAGGCCTTGGTCGGCCACCCTATTGATCTTCTTGTTTGATTTGCACTTTTGCATCATTCTTCAGGCATCTTTGCAGCCATTTCCATTTCCTGGCTCTTCATATGTTTATATAATTTTCTTTCTGTCACAGTTTCTTATTTTTTACTTGTCCTGCCCTGCCTCGCACGGATCTTGTCTTCGCTCATGTCGAATGCTGAGTTGCTGGCTGGTAAAACCCCAACTTGTTCGAGATACAAATGTCCCTTCTGATATGTCGGTTTTCCTTCTTCAGTGTCTATCCTTGTTATCTCTTTCTTTTCCACTCACATATTTTATTTCGAAAGCTCGGGCTCTTGTTATTTGTCTGTCGGCACTCACATTTCTTTATTTGTTACCCTGCGATGGATAATCGCAGCTTGGTGTATCTAGTTACATTGTCGATAGACATAAAATAGACGGTGCTAAAAGGAACATAGCGAGACATCGTACTTTTATAGATCTATACCCAATCAGCCATATGCGGCGTTGGATTGGACTTCAAATTTGATGCTATGTCTAAAATAGAAGCACATGCAGTTGGGATATCATGATAAAAGAAAACGCTCAGGAGAAGAGACGAACGATCAAAGCCCGGGCTGCACAACGAGACCCGGTGCCGAAGGATGCGGCTCCTTCTCCAGCGGAGCAAAGTACTGGCTAAAGGCCTTGCTCAGGGTCTTTTGAGACAGGTGCATATGCTGTCCAGGGGCAGTATTGAAGTCCAGCTTCCCCTGTTCATCAAGCTGCTTCAACCCCAGCCAATCCTCTTTGTAGATCGGCCTCTCGTGCAGAGGCGTCACCTCACCACTAGTGACATTGACCTCGGAGAACAAAGCACTCTCCTTAGGAACAGCAACAGTATCCTCCTCAAACATGAACATGGCAAACCGATTCAGTGACGCTAGATTCTTCTTATACTTCTCATTCTTAACCGCGCGCTCGTTGTTGATATCCGCCAGGAAATTGCTGTGCTCCAGGTACGATTCTAGCTCCTCCGGGTCACGGAAATACTGCGCGGGCACGACGCGCGACTGCGCAAAGCTCGTCCACCGTCCCGATCGTAGGAGTTGCTCGGCCCCTTTGCAGAACCAATTGTCCCAGGCGCACGACTCAAACGCCGAGATGCCGTTGTGCTGACTTCCGAATGTGACGAGGTTGTGGACGGGTGGGCTGTTGCAGCGCTCGATGTACCCGCGTAGAAACTGGCCGCCCTGAGAAAAGCCTAGTGCGTTGATAGCGGGCGCCGTGCTGAGGATTGGGTCCGCGGCGAGCTGTTCGCAGACTAGGGCGATTTGTTCTGTTACGTTGCCAAGGAAGGTTGCGGATCGGTCTCCGCTGCCGTCGTTGGCCAGTCGGATTAGGTGCACGTATGTGCCGGGGTTGGTGGATTCAGCTAGTTTGGCAACTTCGGCCAGCCCTTCGCGTTCGAAGTCATCGCCTAGGCCGTGCCAGATCACGAGAGGGAGCTGGATTCCGCTGACTGCATCTGTTGCGGATTGCCATGGGACCGCAATTGAGAGAGCGTTGGTGGCCAGTGTGGCCAAAAGTGTGATAGAACGCATGGTTGAACGATGGAAATGACAAGGGATCTTCGAGATGTCAGCACCGTTGATAATTCGAGATGGTTGTGGAGACGGAAATGACGTTGCCTCGAAAGGCAGGTACCAATCATGTGATGACCGAATGCGGTAATTTAGATATATATATGTAGGAACAAAAAGCAGGTACAATCCATGATCTATAGGAGCATGAGAATTTACAACTAACATGAAAAATAGTATAGGAAGTGGATTTTGTTGGATTAAGGGATCTCAGTGGTCTATTCATTGGGTGGTATAGTGTATTAATCGTTCTCCTTCTAGGTGCTAAGGTGCCTCAGGCGGTGTTGTAGACCTCAGAAAGATTTAACGGCACTGTCATTACTACTAGTCTACAATGTAGCTAGTAGACCGCCCCAGAGCAGGCGGGCTCCCCACATCCATCCATCTGATATGTGAACCGAGAAAATGAGCCATTCTTCTGACTTCATCTGACTTTCTGAAAATGAGCATTCAATATTATACACTGCTGGGAATAGTCCCGTGCCGGGGGTCATTTCGAGCGGGGAAAGAGATTGGTAATCCATGTAGCTGTCAGGTTCTCTTTCCCTAGGTCCTGTTCCACAATAGGAGATCCTTCATGGCCAAGTAGCATCGATTGCGATGACATGCTGTTCATGGCCATCCCGGAGCTGTCGTTAGATTGCGCAACGGGTCGTCCGTTGAGCTCAAACTGGATATCTTCTTCAATGGCATCGATCACCGAGGATGAATTTCTGCCTCTTCGTGAGGGTTTTGGTCGCTCAAAAAAAGTAGACCCGTTGTTGTTAGCCGCTACCATCCGTTTTCTGTCCTTGTCATTTAGCTTTCGTCGCTTCCCAAACCGCTCAACTTCCTCCACAGATGTAAATGCAAGCTCGAGTGGACGTGTAGCAGACACAGCGGCCCAATCAGGTTCTTTCAGCAGCTGGTGCTTGACCTTGGTCAAGTCATCACTATGAGAGGACCGACCACCAGTCTTATGTGAGGCCAAATCTTCCGTCACTCTAGAATCAGCACTAGCACAGATTAGTACAAGGACGCCCACATGGATTGGTGGAAACAAAGTCAAAGCAATCAACAGTTCTTGACTGACTGATTTCCATTTGTCTCTGCCTCATCCTCATCCTTGTCTCTAGTGCTCGAGCCCTTGAATGCAATATCAGGGAAGTCTCGGAATGGTGAAGGCTGGGGGATAGCCGTGCCCTTTTGGAGTCTCGCCCTGGCAAAATTCTGCTTCTGACCTTTGGTCAACAGGCCTGAGCGGCTGTGATGACGCTGCAACTGGCCGCCTGTCCAATTCATCATGCCAAGAAATGAAGAGTGGAGAGTGGCTAAGGCCTCCAACGGTTCTTCCACGTCAGTTGAGGATGTGGGTGTTTGCTCAAAATAGAAGCAAACAGTGTAAACTATACAAACCTGTAGATAACACGTGATCTCAGCTACAAAAAAATATTTTCTTCCTTTTCTTCTTCCTTTTCTCCGTCAATCATAATCCCAGACTGTCATCGCAACCTCGAATATGAATTGTGTTTCATGACAACTCATCCCTTTTTTCTTCCGACAATTCCCGCTAACAGGTAAGCCCATTCTTTTTTTTTTTTTTTGGATCCATATCCTTGCACTGTTTCCTAAGGGCAATTTGCCTTTTGTGATGAACAAACAATATTTAAAGCATAGTTCACCTGAGATCTTCGGATTGCTGAACGAAAACATATTCCATCTTTCATTTTTCTGATTCTATCAACTTCGATACTCATTTTTCTTTTCACCCACCATTTCTTTTGAACTCGGCTAACGAAAAAAAAAAAAGACCTGAAAATAGGAAATGCCTGCATTGCTGCCCAACGTGGGTCTGGCTCCTGGCCCGCCCCGTCCCGTTGTCCAGTAATCTTAGTTAGATCACATTTACAATCACATTTACTATTTACTATTTACCATTCACCATTTATATTATTTATTATTGCTTCACTGTAATGTTGGAGTCTCAACTGTACAAGGTGATCTCATGCTGCAGGTATACTTCCAGCATCACCGACGTGGGATTCTCTCGTCCATTCGATACTTGCCCAGGTGCAACTGAGTTGGACATCTCATCGAACACGCGAGTGCACCTGCCGATCGTTCAATTCAGACATCATCATACAGCGTCAGCCTGTTTCTTGTCACCAATCATACTTCTTGCCAAGCACTCCAGACGCCGACCCCGTCTCACCGCTAGTAAATATCCCTCCACTCAGTCAAACGAACACCCCCCCCTAATCTGCAGATGCCATCACCGCCAGTCCGCAGCACTGGCTCTCAGGGTGCCAACAGCGCACACGTCTCCTGCACCATGCGAAACTGGCACACGCCATGTTTGATGGCCCACAGACCCTCCAAAGTCCGAGCTTTCATTTTTTTTGTGTGTGCTAAAAGGCCGCTGATCCCCCTCCATTTTGATTCTCCTTTCTCTTTCTCCCTTAACTCTCTGGACACCCCTTTTTCTACAGTACCTTGTGTATCACTTCTATATATACTCCTGAACACATACAACAACTCAGTCCCTGGACCAAGGACAACTTCTTTCTTAACCCAAAACTCCCTGGTTTTTGATACAATCACCGCCACAAGGATTTCTCTCTGCCACATACTTCCCGGACAGGATTTGTTTTCTTGTTATCTCCCAGGCTTCTCTTTAGTCTGTTACATTTCGACGACAAAACACAATAGGTAGCTCCCATCACATTTTCTTTACAATTGGTTCTCCTATGCGTTCTTTTTTTTTTTTCCCTTTCTCTCTCTCTTCCGGACCTGTACCACTGTCACCTGTGCTTGCCAAGGATATCGACAACCTATTTCCCAGGACCTTAGACCTACTCCCACTCCGGATTTTTGCCCAATTTCATTTTGGCGACCATGAATAGGGAACCCCCTACCAAGAGGATACTTGCCTTCAGCACCTGCTGAGTGAATCTCTTTGAGATGTGTTTAATGTTGCACACTCAAAAACTCGCCTGACTTCCACTGCCACTGGACTTCCATGGATGTTTCTCTTTTCACGTTGCCTCTGCTCTAAGACCGGAGTTTTGAGTGCGGATTTTTGATATAGCCTTGGATCCCCATTGCTCCTGGAAACAACGCCCCTGGAATGAACCACATGAACCACTTAAGGACTTTGAAATTTATGACTCTTTGCCTGGAAATCTGATGCTACTATGGCCACTTTCTCTCAACAATAATGGATCCATTTAACCCCAAGGAATCAACCGAGGAATCTTTCAAGCTAATGTGCTTGCTCCTTGTCAATTATGGCCTCTTGAAGCATCCGCTTTCTCAACTCTTGCTTGCGCTATTGCTTTACGGACCCTGGCCATTGTGTACCTACCTGACCTGGCCACAAAAATGAACGACTTTCTTTTACTTACCTGGATTCACCTGGATGATGCTTCAAATAGAAATTCTGGCTAGGAAACTGTTTCTCGCACTGGCACCACTTACCACACTCTTGGATTGACAACAGACCTGGACCCGAACATAGACGCGACCACTTTGACCAGGACCTTACGATAATCCCAGGTCGGCCAAGGAACTTGAAATCCCACGCAAGCGACTTCGGTGCGTATAACTAAATCGTGACACGACCCCTTGTCTCATTTACTGACTCTGACTAGGTTTTCAATCACCTCTGGACCATGGAGTTCTTTTTCTTTTCTTTTTCTTTTGCTTTGCTTACTTCATTGTTCGATGACGAGTAGTAGATACTAACTCTTGGTTTACAGTGTTTTTATATCATACAACCACACACAATGTCTCCAAGGACCACCAGCGACTCTGACCGAGTCTCTATCTCACAGTCCATGCATACCTCCATGGTTTCGGGAATCTCAAATATGGCCTCAAGATCAATCCAGGATGATGAAATGTCGAGCCATGACAACTCCTCGTTGTGCTCAAGTATCCGTACAGCCCATGGAAACCCACAGGACATGAAAGACTGGACAATGAACCACCAAGAATCCCTTGACCAGGCTATCTCAAAACAAGACTCATCCGAGGTGCACATGCTTTCTTTCTCGCTGTCTCAGCAGCTCATGACCCCCACTGTCGGACCAAATGATGTTATGTACCCAGGCATGGACTTCCCAGCAGTCCCTGACATGAATGACCATGAAATGTCCCGGGATCTTTATAACTCTTTCCTGGATTTCTCTTCTGTTGAAAATGATGTCTGTGTCGGAAATGGCACGCCAGATGATGCTCTTTCCATCGGACACAGCTCTCACAGTACCGAGGACGGTCACTATATCACAGGCCCAGAGTCATGGACTCCAATGATGCATGATGCCCATTACCCAGGAACCACCATGGAACAATTCTCGTCCGGTCTTTTCCAGACCGCCCCGGTCTCTCCACCACTGACCGACGCTAGCAATGATATGTCTGTTACTTCTTGCTCACACGCGGGATACACTTCATTCATGGCCCCTGATGATGCACTGCTCGGAGACTTTACCACATCACCCATTGGAACGACCCACGGACTTAACCCAACAGAGCCCTTGTTCCCCAGCTCTTCTCTTAACGACAGGGACCTCAACAGGTGAGTTTCAGATAAGCCGATTGGCCGGAAGACAAACCATTGGATCAGAAACCTAACCACTATACCGTAGGACTATTAGACCTTCAAAGCCCTCCCGCCGTTCAGCATTGTCAGCTGTTTCTCAGCACCAAGGAAAGACTGATCCCGATTTCTTCCCAACCCTGCCAGTGAGAGAGCCAACCCGCCAGAGATCCAAGGAAGGTGTCGAAGCTCGCAACCCGCGAGAGCACCAGTATTATTCCATGTCCACCCACAGCGATGGAAAATACTACTGTCCATTTGCCACTGGAGAGAAGCCCTGCAACCACCCACCTACCACGCAAAAATGCGCTTACCAGCAAGTCCTCCCGTGATGAAAACCTTTGGTCTAATCTGAACCTAGCTAACCGGTATCAATTAACAGCAAGTACCTGGATTCCCATCTGAAGCCTTACCGCTGCAAGGTCCCCGCCTGCATTGATGCCCAGCTGCGCTTCTCTTCCAACGCCTGTCTGTTCCGCCACGAGCGTGAAGCCCACGGATTGCATGGCCATGGAGACAACCCCCACCTCTGCCTCTGGGAGGGCTGTGAACGTGCCGTTCCAGGCAACGGATTCCCAAGGAGATGGAACCTTTACGACCACATGCGTCGTGTGCACGACTATGCCACCTCCGAGCGCCACAGCTCGCCTGAGAATTCCCCGGGCGCTGGTCAGATTAAGAAGAAGGAACCCGCTAGCCGCAAGAGAAGAGTCACCGGTGCCACCCCGGCTCCCACCATGAAGCGCACTCGCTCCGTCCACTCCCAGGCTAGCTCCAAGGCCACCCAGGCTTCCGCCAGCCTTGGACAGCGCCTCCAGAATGCCGAGCAGAACTTCTTCAAGTGCCGCTCGCGTCTGCTGGAGGAGCTGGGTAACATCTCCCCTCGGGATACTACCATGCACGAGAAGGTCAACGCCAGTTTCCAGGAACTGTTCACCTTGGGTTTGAACTACCGCCAGATTGAGGCCAGCCAGGCTGTTTCCCACATGCCCAATGGATTGCCTTGAAGGGTTAAGAAGCTGTAGACCTCCTTCCTGGAGGAGAACAGCGGTATTTTTTTTTTGAAACGACACGAACAAACTTCACCGGAGGACTTTTTCTTGATTTCCTTTTTACTCCACGGCTAGACCGTGCTGCTTGCTGCTTGCTGACCAGGCACTTTCAATACATGGAGAAACCCAGTGCGATCGCTCGCGAGTACACAAGTGGACTTTGGCCAAAGGATTGTCTCAGCTTGATCCCATCATCAGACAAAGACAATCCGATTCCAAAATGGATACGGCCAGGAACTGGATAGGACCAGCGTGGTAGCCCCCCACCCCACGCTTGAGAGCTTTTTGATCCACCCCCGATCGCAAGCTACTCACCACATGGGGATCTGGATTCAGTACCAAGGGCTTTTGAGCTTCTTGGGCTGCACGCCAGATCCATGGATAAACCCATCCCAATGACACAAAGACCCGACCGAAACTTATGAGGAAGAAGACAGCAAAGCGGGATACGGTGTCTCAAAAAGGGGAAGAAGAATGATAGTAAAGAGAGATATAGCCATGTATTGTCCAACAATTGGTTGGATTTTTGATTTTTGAATTTTGATGTTGATAGATAGTGGTTGCGTTCTTGTATTTTTGTTTCAATGACTGTTTTTTACTCTGCAATCCATACTGAAACATGTAGATCCGTAGACCTGAAGCGTATGCAAGTCATAACCTCGTTACCTCATAACTACCAACTAACTTTTTCTAATGAGAAGACATCTAATCTATCTGATCCTACTCAAAATGCAAAGCATCTATTCTTCGGCATTCTCCGCAACCACACCCGAGAACTCAGCATTAAGAAACCGCACAAACGCATCCCCAATCTGATCAACCGATAGCGCACCGCCTCCAGAACCATGACCCCGACCAATGTACGATCTGTTCAAGCTAATCCACTGCCTACGCAGCCTCTGCAGCCGCGGTAAAGCCAAAATCCCACCAGCAGCGGTGAGTTCATCCGTCGTTCCAGACATGGCAACATGGGACGGAACAAGGATGGGAATAGTTGTCTCGGGAACCTCGATGGCGATTGCATCGTTGCGACTGCTCTGCGCAAGCGCCACCTCTGCGGACGGGTAAGTCTGCGTGAAATTGCGGATTGCAGCCACAACTGCCGACGTCCGCTTTTCTATTGCGTACATTGCGTTGGAGTCTGTTGCCGTTGCTTGCACGGTGGCTTGGTGAGGGATGATTCGGGCGCGTGTTGAGAGCCCGCTGCGGCCACCACCTCGAGTGCCGGTTGCTGTGCTGGCGACGTCTGAGATGGTGGTGGATTTGAGGGAGTCAATTAGGCTTGGGATGGCTGTTTCGGTGGGAGCTTCGGTTGATGGGAGGACTACGCCTGTCAAGGCTTCGAATATGTCTGCTACCGGGGGCTCTGCGTCGGCCCACGGAACTGTGAACAGGGGCTTATCCCAGCGGCTGTGTGTGCTGGGTTCCTCGTAGCGGAAGATGAGGTTGTTGAGCAGTTCAGATGGGTAGGCCTCCTCGGTGTCCTCGGTAGACTCTGCGGAGTCGGGCGCGGGGGTATCTTGGGTTTCCGAGGTGTTCGCATCCGATATCTTTGGGTCTGCTTGCTTGTTGGCGTCTCGGCGCAGTCGGGCGTCATTGTTGGCGATGCACTGGTCGACGGGTGTCCCGACGTGAACCTATAGTGGACTTGTCAGCCATCTGAGTGTCGTAATTCACAGCGTATGTTCCGATCTCGCACCACACAGCATGTCGTTTGCGCAGCTTTCGCCTCACACCACAGCTGGTACCTCCATCCTTTGATATAGTTCATTCCGTCGAGGATGACGATGCTGTCCCGCTTGAGCACACGTTTGGCTCTCGCGTAGGCGACGCCGCGCGCCTCCTTCTCGGTGCGGGCATGGTCGTAGACAATCCGGGGATGGGACGAATCGTGTGACGCGATCACATGGACCTTGTATCGAGATTTCAACGAAACCTGCGCGCCTGCTTCGGCTGCTGCGAATACTTCATCTTGGTGTTTCTCAAACAGAGATGCGAGTTGATTGGCGCGGTGGGTAAGACCAGAGCACGGGTATCCCGTTAAAACGACGAGCTGAATGTGTATCTGTCAGTTTGCATTGCAGAATTTAAGATGTTTCTCCACGTACCGGCATTGTTGTTGCTTGCGGTGCTTGTTCAGGTGGACTTTTTTTTTTTTTCTATGCGGGGGTGTGGCATGTGACCCACATCTATATCCATGAACCACCTATACGCTCTGTCATGGAAATTTGGATTTATTTTCTCAATTGATAAGATCGTTGCATTTGATGCTATTTACTAATGCGGATACAGGATTAAAGAAACGAGAAAAGTAAAAGTGGAAGGCTGCTGCAATGAAATCGAGGCCTGAAGTATGAGGCAGAGATGGTTAGTTCAGGTACCTTGTGTAGAGATAGTAAATGTAGTTCTAATTTTCTAGAATAGGTCTTGATCTCAATGTATATAGATTCTATCGAACTTTTGTCATGTAATCATGTCATCGTTCCAAGTAGGCCGGGGGTATCAAATCAACGGCTCAAACAGTTTTGGATGAATCCTCCAATTGATCCTGCGCCCATCGGATCTCATATCCGAATACGGTTCTTCGGAGCCTTTCATCCTGTAAAGAGTCAGCACCGTGACCATAATCCCGAGAACTATCAAAATGTAGACTTACGCCAGGGTCTTTCTCAAACAGCACGGTATCCATCACCTTCTCAAAGATCTTGGTGACAGTGAACCCGCTGGCCTCAGCCAACGGGAAGAATTGCTCGGTCTTGGGCAATAGCCAGGGCTGGTAGGGGGTGAAAATAACCAGAGCAACAGACTTCGGGTCCTTCTTCATGGTCTGCTGCATGGTTTTGATCAGATTCGGGTGCTCACGGTGGCTGTATACCACATCCGCCATGATCAAAACGTCAAACAAGGATGGAGAGCCATCGGCAGCAGGAGGCAGATACGCCCGCAGCGGGGTGACATCGCTGCCCCATTTATAGCCATCAACGTGAAGGCGGGGCTTTCCGTCTTCCCGCGCGGGAATAGCACTGGCTGACAAGTCTGCGTTGTACTTCATGTTTTCAACGAGATCTGGATCAG